TTAATGCGTGATAGAATTATTTCGAATGATTTTTTTGCTCCCCAGATGTCTCAATGTTCAGGCTATCTGCGAAATGCCCCAATTTAGAAGAATGATCCTGTTCAAATGAACAACTCAATGCCATGGGTTTTAATGGTAAAAAAAAGGTCAACTTTGAGCCTAAAAAGACAATGGTGTGACTTTATTGACTCAAAGAAAGGTATGGGTGTATCAAAAAGATAAAGGCAATGTTTAACAATTTCAGAGGGAGGTAATGTCAAAATTTGGTCTTTTTGGTGATGACCATGAGTTATTTTGGGTAAAGAATCAAGGTATTTATTTTGGGGTTTGAGACAGGATAAGAAAGGTTTAATCTTGCCATATGTCAAAAATCTATAATTCTTGAAGAATTAAAAGAATCCTTAATTCATTTAATATTCGAAGAACTAAAGATTAAAATTTGTTCAATTGCTCCACCTTGAAAAGTAGCATAAATTCAATCCTTTAAAAGATTAAGCAAAAGATCAAAGACGTGTTCAAACAAAACAATCCTCTAAGTGTAAATGGTATATGCCATGCCCCCTTCTTCGGCTGTTCATGCCCCTGAATCCATCATGGTTTGGATCTTGCGCTTCAGTGCATTACAGTTCTCAGAGGAATATTTGGGGCATCCTATGTGGCAACTGAAAACAGCTTCAACATCGTAGCCCTTAGGATATGTGGACTCGTTTCTCAGATCATCCTGGCAGGCTTAGTCATACAACCAGCTGATCGGGCTCCCACTGTACTGATTTTAGTTTTTTCTTTAATTGTTAAAATCTTGCTTTCATGTGGTGTAATGTGGTTAAGACCACTTCATCGAATCCTCCGCGACTTAATTTCATGTTTATGAAAATGCTTAAAAATGTAGATGAGGATGCAAAAATGCAAGAATGCATGAAATGTTCGAGGCATTGATCCAAGAAATGTGCCTGTTATTATGAATAATCCTTATTGGGGACAAAAAAGTTTTATCTTTTAAGAGACAAAAATATCCTGACAGCTTCTGACATGTTGACTAGTCTTCTGCTTTCGTCTTTCACCGGTTGAATAACCTGTCGAACCGCTCCGGCCTCTCTGGATAAACCGTTAAAATGTTGAGTTGTTTTTCGTACTGGTCCAAAAAGTCTCGAATGATCGCATCTCGAGCATTTACTTTTGTTGAGCATGTTCCCAACGAATTCATCATTGGAGCCCTTAATTGATAGGAACTATGTGAAGTTCATTAATCTGTTTCTTGAATTCGCCAGCAATGGTCTCCAATTTCAGCTATCATTTTGCCATTGTCGTGTTCAAAGGGACTTCCAAGATACATAACCTTCATCCTGCCCCTGCAACCTCTGCCAGTCAGTTCTTCAAAGATAAGCTTTCATTGTGCTTGATGTAGACCCGATTCATTCTGAGTCCTTTATAATGCAACAGAGTGATATACTCTTCAATTGTGGGCACCACGTCTTCTGGATTGAATGTGACACATAGTCGCCTTGTAGACTATCCTCTGTATTTTCATCTCTTGTATTACAACAACTTTGTCCATGGATTCAGATTATTCGAGTTTTAACAAACACGTTTTAGTGGATCAATGACCTCTTTTGAATGATGCAAGTGATGTAAATAAAATAAAATAAAAGAAAGATGAAAAGAGTTAGTGAGGTGAAAAATAATAAAAAATGATCATAAAAATGAAAGTCCTACCCCACATGATATCTACCTCACATGCTTATTATTCCTACCCGAACATGATCTCTATCCCACAAGTTGATTTTGAACAAGTCCTAACCGCATAAATTTCTAGTTCACATGCTTTGAACAGAAAGTAAAGTATGAAATAATTCCGGCATCCTAGGGTTTGGAATGAGGTTTTGGGGTGGGCTCTAACTCCTTATAGTCTCCCGGTTTAGGTTCTAAAAAAAAGGTACCCGAGTTATCCTTGCCGGTGCCCCCTTGGGCTTACCAGACCCTTAGTCCTAAACCCATCACAGACTTGTGTGGACTAAGTTAAACTCGGGAGGATACATTCCCTTATGCCCATACGGAGAATAAATTCACACGAATGCATAAGGTATATGAATCCCGAAGGTTACTTGCTAGGCCCATACGGAGAATAAATTCACACGAAGGTGTCGCTTTCACCCCACTTAAATAGGGTTCGGGGCTCGGGTATAGAGCCAGAGATAAAAACTTTTCAAAAATCTGAAATCATTAAACAAAATGTCAGTACAACTATTTATTTGAAAAATGATCAAAGATAAATAATTGGAATCGAATAAATAAATTTAAATTTAAAATTAAAATTTTCGCATAAAAAGACAACCGAAAATTAATTTTGGCCTGACTCACTTACCTGTCCCCAGCGGAGTCGCCAAGCTGTCGCAACCGTCTTTCGGTTGGGCCCCGAAATTGGGCTTCGACTTGAAAAATGTGGATTAGAGTCGCCACCGACCATTTTAAAAACATTTAGGTAGGTCGGACACCATCTTACCTGATCTGCGTTTTACCAGAAACGTGTCGGGTTCTGGAGTCGGTTACAGTCAAGGAAGGATTAGTACCCTTGAACCGCCCTTTCGGTACCAATTAATTTGTCGGTTGTCTTTAATTGCGAAAATTAAAAATTAAAATTTAAAAAATCAATTCGAATAATTACCTTTAATCGATTGAAATTACCCCCTAAAAATTGGTTACAATAGTATATTGAATAGAAGTGAAATAGAAATATCTTAGGAATATAACAATTAAAGGTTGAACAATTACATGGGAAAAGAAGAGAAGACATGGTGTTAAACAAAATAATAGATAAAAGATGCAGTACACATTGAAAGTAGTTCAATGATATCTAATGGTACCTAACCTCTGAATTCCAGAACCAATAGTTATACTAATAATAAAAATATATGGAAAAGCAAATGATAAAAAACAAGGCTTTTAAAAAAAATGTTATGTCAACCATACTTTATATTGAAATGCTATGTCAAACAGTAAGCAAGAATATATATAGAACAAAAACGATTCAGTGAATCTAGACAGACAAACCTTTTTTGGCACCACCAAACCTGAAAATGCCCAGAAAGAAAATAACAACCCTTCTCCCTGGTTTCGTTTTAAATCCCCGCATGATGTCTGGAATTACTTTGAGAACGGCTTCATGAGGCGGGCCTTGCTCGAGTGCGGAGTTGGGGAGGAAAAACCCGTTGGGAAGTGAGACCAAGTCATGGCTGGCATTTCGAAGGACCCCAACGTGTCAAGCAATTTATTTAGACGACCCTGCATCAAAGACTAATGGCAAACTCCGAGCGAAAAAGGCGCGAGCTTTCTGATGACCCAAGATGCCCAAGCGGTGGCGCCTCTGAAGACAATATATTTCACGTGCTGCGAGATTGTTTTCAGGCCAAGAGTATATGGGACCAGTTGATCTCGACACAGTTCAAGACAATTCTTTTCCCATACTTGAAAATCTGGAATTAATCCAAAAAAACCTTGCATTGGTCTGCCCTTATTTGCTTCTAGAATACCCATGGTATTCAAGTTACTTGGGTCACCAATGGCAAATGGAGGTAAATTACGTATAGAAGCCTCAGCAACACCAGGCACCTTGCTGAATCGACCCAAACCTTCTTCTTTGGTTTTTTCTTCAAGACGCAATAATTCATCAAGAAAAGGACTGCTCCTAGAACCAAAAACTGCTACCAGTCCCCCCTATTCTGTTTTTCGTTTGTGCAGCCCCGTATCTTTGTATTGTCATTCCTCTCTTCTCGGATCGTTAGGCGGCGGCCTCCAACCTTGTTCTTCAATCGGTTTGAGTTTCTGGCATTTTACTCTTTGGAATATCTCCCTTGGAAATGGTCTATGCAAGCTACAAGAACTGAGACGCGAGAAAGCTCGGTCAAATTCACTGCAAGGAGCTCCAAGCTTTGGTCTCTGATTTCGGGTTGAGTGGCGTGTGTGTGATTTTTTTAGCTCAGTTGGCTACTGTTTCGAAAGAGAGATGATTAGCCCCCGTCTTTTCGCCCCCTTTGCTTGTTGATTTATATCCGTTTAAATAGCCAAGTGATTGGCTATTTTTAGACAGATTTAGAGTCTCATTTGGACTCAAATGCTTTAGTTTTAGAGTTCTATTCGAACTAAAAAACGATCCTTGCTGATTTAGTGCCGAGAATTCCGGGATGGAGTTGTTGGGTGAAAATTAGTGTCTACAGTTGTCTCTTTATTTTTTGCTGCTCTGGTATGTTATTTCTTTTTATATGTGAACATCGGTACAATTTGGTAGATTTCGCCTCATTTGCAGTTATCCTTTATTGCAAGAGAATGAACCTGTAACACCTCTTTAATTGTGTTTTCTTTTGCCTAACTATTTTCAGTGTCTGCATGCAAGGGTCTTTTGTTTTATCGGTACTGCAGAATGCTGACTGTATGGTTCTCAGAATTCCCATCAGTAAATATCAGGGGCACTTTGATAATTTGCTGCTTACATAGTCATGCATCTTGCTTTAGAGAGTGTAGTAAGTCAGCTTTCTTTTCGTATTTGTGTCTTAAAAGTTCGATTCTGGGGATGCATGTCTGCAGTGTTAGTATGCAGCTGATAATATGCTGGATTAATAGCTGAAACTCCTTTTAACTAATTTTTTTCATACAGGGTATGGAAACTGCATCACATTTTGTTTGTTGTTATGTATGTATCTTAGTTTTTTTTCCATCGCAATGCTCTTAACCTTGTGGTCGTGGAATCGAGTCCTACGGTGGACAATTCATAATTCTTACTGCCGGAGGTCTTCCACGGAAGCTGCTCTCAACCTGGCGTTGGGGGCAGCCTACTACCTTACCTCTCCCTCACCCCATTACATATGAGAATAGGGTCAGTTAATTTTTATGTATCTTAGTTTTTTGCTTTAGTAGAAACTGCTATTTCTGTTTCTTTCCCTAAACTAGGTATGTTATTCTGTATAGATCTTGAATTCAACGCCCTACAATTGTGTCGTCAACAATGCTTATATTGTCGTCCTCATTATGATCAAGCAATGCTGATTCTGAACTTGTCACTAGCTGCAATGGCAGCATCCCCTCTTTCTAGAGCAGTGACATCAGTTGGAGTACCATCATCGCAACTCATTGGAAGAGAAAGCCATTCACCTTTAATTCTGGTTTTAATATGATATGGCTTGTTTATCAACATACGTTCCCCTTTAATTGTATGCTATAACTTATTTTATTATTATTATTTTATACAAAAATAAAAAAATATATAATTAAATAAAACAATAGGCTGCTGATTAGGAGATAATATTTCATATACGTATCTCTATTTGTATGGACTGTACGTACTTTTGGTGTTTTTTTTCATGGCATTCTGATGTTTGTGGCAGTGAACATATGTGATATCCTGCATGGCCATGGGCAGTGCGGATGATGCTAAAATCCACAAGAAAAACTGTAGATAATTTTGTCCCCAACCAATTTCATCATTTTGTCAGAACCCTCTACTGTTGGAACGGTAACGAACAAGAGAGGCTTGACCGATCCGAGTCCTACTTGATTTATGTGCTCGATCCTGTTCTTGTAAGAACAAATGTGGGGTCCCGAAACAGGTTTCTTACAATACTTCCAAAACATTATACAAGTTAGTTCAGCCGTCAATCATGTTATTGGCTAATATGTATGAACATATGAGATTCGATATCCTTGTTTTTATGCTATCCCCTGTGAATTCTTCTTCTTAATAACAGGTAGAAGTGAAGTTGCTTTCATTCACCGAGTTTTCATTATTGGATATTACTTAACAATCACGTCCCCACCTGGGAACAGTCCAAATGTTGATGTTATGACGAGCTTAGGGACCGAGTGGTTAGTTTCTGGAAAGAGAACGGCAACAATATCAACAGCCTAGTGACAACCTACTCATTCACTCTTCCGTTAAGCCCTACCCAAGAAACAAAAACCACTGTAGCATTGACTCCACTCCAACAAAACCAACGCTGGCAGTCCTACCTACGTAGGTTTTATCTGGTTTTATCTTTACTTTCTCTAGATTCATTTTGAAATAAAAATTTTAAGTGTATATATATATATATATATATATATATATATATATATAGTTGTTTGGAGTGATTATAAACTAATATTTATACAATATCTTTTTTAGTTATTAAAAATGTTACACACACCCTACAGATGTATTTACTCGAACTCAAAATTTCTAGGAAGAATAACACTCTAATAAATTCAATTATGAGTGTATATATATAATATATATAGTATTTTGGTTTTATATAACCGGAGAGTGTATTAATGGGGTTCCACCAAATCCTCTGCCATAGTCTCATTTGCAACTCTTAACAGTTGTGCTCCCATGTGATAATGTCCCCCCACCCCCCTTCCCAATGGGGGGACACCAATTTTTCGTTGCTCCCCTCCACCCCCACCCCACACTGATGCAGGGGATCCGAGACAGATGATGCTGAGCTGTCAGATTGCACGTTGATGGCGCTGAGATACCATGAGTTGGCAGATCAGCGCAAAGGCGGAAATTGATTGTGACATGTTCCTCATTGGGGTCGTTTTGAGTATGTTTTAGTCTTTTGGCCATAACTTTGGCTACAGGTGTCAGAATCGCGCATAAGACCCCAATCCGGAAAGCTCTTTTCGACGCGCACGCTCTCCACATTGAGCTACGCTCTATGTGGCCTTTTTTTCAACCTCAAATTCTGCCGTTTTCTCCTCCGAATCACTAGATTTAGTTATTTTTACTATTTATGGTAATATTTCGATTGTTAATTAGGAAGTCAATTTAAATCGATTTAGACCGGATTTTTGACGCTCTCTATGTGGCCTTTTTTTCAACCTCAAATTCTGCCGTTTTCTCCTCCGAATCACTAGATTTAGTTATTTTTTACTATTTATGGTAATATTTCGATTGTTAATTAGGAAGTCAATTTAAATCCGATTTAGACCGGATTTTTGGGAGATTGCTTATTTTATTTCGAATTTCAATTTAGAGTGATTTTCGGGATTTTGCTATTTTTGGCAAAATTCGAATAAAGACGATTTTTTTTGCTATAACATCCGGCTTGTGGACTGCTTTTGGATGGTTTTTTGATTTTATATTTTATTAAACCCTAGAGACTTTTTTTCTCTGGTTTTTGGGCGAATTTTCTCTTGTGAATCGTCTGTCGGAGCTAGCCTACAGGATAATCACTATTCTGTCTGGCGTTACACACACACCTCTTTCTTTGCCTTTCTCTTTTTGTTCTTACTCCTCAAGCTTCCATGCTATGGAAGCGTTCATTTTCTTCCATGTTTTCAGCCCAAACGTGAGGTTCTTTTTTAGTGTGTGTTTCTCTTCAAAATTTCATCAAAACAAGACAAGTTAAATATTTATTGTGTAATGGTACAAGTGCACGTTATGAGAGTTTTTAGTTCTTTTCATCGAATTATGATATAGTAAATAAAGTAAATTACATTTAGAAGGTCATTTCATAATGGATTTAATGTTTTAATTGGAACGAATATGTATAATTATATATATATATATATATATATATATATATATATATATGTTTTTTAATATACTTAAAGAATAAAGGAAAATCAACTATAATTACAAAAATCGACTGTAAAATACAATGAATATGAAAAAAAATATAAAAAACCAGTAAAGATATATTAATATATGTATAAGATAAGGTGGCAAGGTGATTGGAGAAAGGGGATTATATAATTTGGCCAGTCATTTCAAGAAGGGGAAGGATGGAAAATCATGGCATTGCTCGTTTGGTTTTATGCATGGACAAAGTTTTGCATCAATCAATGGAAGACAAAAGCCAGCTCAAGAAAATGGCATGGGTATAAGAGTAACTAATAAATTGTAGACATGTGGGATTAAATTAAGGCAGTTTGTCATCATTGATAATAATTATTTTTTCCATTACATATTTAATTCAACCTAATGAATCCAATATTAGCTCGGTTCCTAGGTATCCAAATATATATATATAATTATATCTCTTGTAGTTATTAATTAACAGGTAATATTGCAGCTAATCCAGCTTATATATAAACTAAATAAGAGTATTAGAATTTCGAAACATGCATACAAAATTTGTATTATGGAGACAAATGAAAAATATAATATACAAACACGACGTAAATGTTGAGAGGCATGCTTAAGACAAAGCACAAAAGAACAAGAGAAGCCTTCCATTTGTTCAATATATATACAATTAAGCTTAGGATAACTGTTAATCAAGGGAAATATATAGTTCCGATGAATTAAATTATGGGAACTGAGAACAAAATACATATGATAACTAATACAGTTATAGTAGTAGGAATGTTATATAATACGTACAATGATAACAATTTCAATAATCAAGTCATTAATATCGTGATAAGAAAGGATAAATAATTAATTACGATGTATTTTTACCGTTTTAAAGCACTAGAGTGTGTCCTTAGATTAAATGTAGGTATATACGAGTTAAAGGCGGTCAGAGAAAAAGAAGTGATTAAAGAAATGAAAATTAGGGTTAGCATGTAATGATAGATGGGATCACATGCTTGATAGCATGCTTTGATTCCTTTAACAAAAACTTTTTCTCTCTCAAATATTAGAACCAAGTGTTCCTCAAACCACATGCCTCTTGGGAACCAGCAAATCCTTTTTCATTTTACTTTTGTCTTTCGTCTTTGTGTAAATGACAAGAATTCTTAATTAATTGCAGAAAGTAGAGCATGAACAAATCCAATAAATAGAAAATTTAAATAATATCTTACTTCTCGTTATGTTACAACTCAAAGCCCCATAAGTAGTGTGGGTGAAATTAGTGAATGTATTATCTTGTTTATAATATAGAATAAAAAGTACGTTTGTCTGCTGGATTAAATCTTCTTTTTTTTTTTTTTGCTTAAAGGAACATTTGATGTCTTTGGGCACTGTAACTGTTGTTGCATTTTTTTAATATTTATAGTAACATAAAGATAGCCGATTTGGGTGGCCGTGCCCTATTTCTTCCTCTTTTGTTTTTTGTCTTGCTGCAAGCCTTGAAAAATGACAGAGAAACTTCGGAGTTGGTTTCTGCACCATACTATACTTGGGGAAACACAAATTTTACCATTTCCCACGAATTATCTCTCTTAAAAAGAATGTTTGGGGCTACAACATATTAATTGTCAGGGTTCAAATCAACTGATATGTGTAATAAACTCAAATCCATTCCATGTAAATGATTTGTTTTCAGTAGGAGCAAGGAATTTGGGTTTGCCATGCTGCAGTGCGACAGGGCAGCAGTTAATTTCATGTAGAGCCATAGACTTTTTTTAATATAGAAATCAATTTCATGAATTCCATAATATTACAAAACTGTGTTGCATAATATACATACATATCTGGATAACGACGAACACATATCTACTTTGATAGCCATTTCCCCAAAATCCTAAAGAAACTGATAAGAGAGCAGCCAAAGCCATGGCCATGGAATTTGGAGGGTAGGCAGGGTCAGTTTTAGCGAAAGCCAAAAGGATTTGGCGGGAGTTTTTAGTGACATTTTTTTTTGTTTTCGTTGCAAAATATCTCTAATTTTCTATGCTTTAAAGGCAACAATGGAGATGAGGAATTTTTTTGGGGGATACAAGCATACGCACGCACACACGAGATAGGTACACATACGAGATGGGATCAAATCAGGACCCTTCATTCTGAGGTATAGTAGACTCGGGCAGAGGTTGAAAGATGATCGGTGCTCCATATTGTGGGTAAAGTAGCATCAGAACCGTTGGTGCATGTTGATAAGTCGGGGCCAATCTAAAAGAGAAGCGTTGGAGTATGATCAAAAGAGCCAACTTGGCTTGTAATATGGCAAGGTTTTGGCCGATGCACGTGCGGACCCCTAAACCAAACGGGATGAACCCGACCGGATGTTTCGAAGCACGTGCCACGCCCTCGGAGAATCGAGCTGGGTTGAACTCGTTAACATCGTTCCCCCATATGGCTTGATCATGATGAACGGCCAAGATTGGTATCAAAAGCTCAGTCCCACGGAGGATCATGTAGCCCCCCAGCTCTGCATCAACTTTGGCCCGTCTGATCGTGGCTATCGTTGGTGGGTACAGCCGCAGGGATTCATTTAAGATCATGGTCAGCTGCACACCACAACATGTGAACCCAAAATCAGAATGTTTTACTGATTTAGACCCTTTTTCCTGAGTTAAAACCATGGCTTAAACAAGGAGCAAAGAGACAAAACATATGACTGTCTTTAATGCAAAAGGAAGGGGGGGCGGCCTTAGGCTTTTTTTACCGTCTTAAGCTTCATAACATCATCTTTGGGAGATATAACACGTGATCCACACACCCTTAACACCTCCTCACGTGCTTGCACCTGCCACTGGGGATGCATTGCTAGTAGAACAGTGGTCCACGTCAACAAATTGGATGTGGTCTGTTTACCGGCAAAGAAAAAGCTCTTGCACTCTTCGATTATGTCATGGACTGTGATATTTGGACACGAATTTGAGGCCTGCATCATTAATCCTAGCAAATCCTTTGGTCCTTTCTCTTGCCCTATGTCCCCCAACTTCTCTTTCCGTCGTTCTATTAGCTTCATCAATGACTTTTTAATCTCCCTGTCCAATTTCCAAAAGTTTATGTTCCTCTTGGTCGGCAAAAATCTGAAATTTCAAGCCCCCAAATTTAGGCATTTCGTATAGTACTGAGACAGATGACTACACGACAAGGAAACCTTTTGGTACGTGAAAAACTAGGACAAGGGATGATGGATGTAATGATTGATGATATAGAATTTTGAAAATTTACCTATAACCAGGGATGAAAACTTTTTGAAATGCCTCGGCTGCTAAAACCATTTGTTGAGCTTGTAGACGAAAAATGGCCTTTCCATCTTCATAACTGGTCCCAAACGCGGTACGGCCAATGACATCTTCGGTCAGTGTTTGAAACCATTCGCAAACTTCGATTTCAATCTCACCCGAGCTGGTCGGCAGCATTGCCGACCATTTCTCGAGCATATCGGTTACTCTTTCTGCCACCAATGGCACCAGTAACTAGAATAAAAAAAGTTATATGTTTTAATTAAAAGTTGATATGAGAAATGAATGAAGTGATTAATTAAATTACTTTGAGATTCTCCATATGGAAAGTGGGGGTGATGATTTTTCTATGATGAGCCCATTTTTCGCCTTTGAGACTAAGGAGGCCTTCACCTTCGAGCTGTTTCATAAGAGGGTGGGCTTCATTCTTCTCATAGGAATCAGACTTGGAAGTGAAGATTTCCCTTAAGAGATCCGGGTCAGCCACCGTGAGGCGAACCGTTGGACCAAACCAGACCAGAAACGTTGCACCTGGTAATTCATAGTGAAAAATCATTAAACACATTTACATCATCATATTTAAACAAACAACACATGTTTTGCTGTAAACGAAGAAAAATAAAAAGGAAGATTTTACACCGAGGAGGGAGTGGCACGGAACCTCAAGTAGTAAGTATCAAGTTTGCGAAAGAGGAAAAATGAGCAGGAAAGAAATGACAACCCATTAATTAATTCAAAAGGAAATGATGGATATACGTATAGTACACACACATATATGTGTGTGTATATAATAATAGAAAATGAGGGAGAGCAGCGAGAAGAAGACAACTCAGAAACAGTGGTAGTAGGCTACTAGCAAACATAATACAACTTCATCATCAGAAACAAAGGCCAAAAAGGAAGATGACATAGAAAAAACAGAGAAAGATGATAAAGATAGTAAAAGTATTTTGAAAAATGATAGAAATATAAAGAGAGAGAAAGATGGGATTATGAAAATCAAGGGGTTAAGGAGAAAGGGTGCAAGAAAATAAGGAAAAAAGGGAAGAAAAACGGAAGTGGAACCGTCCAAAAATTCCTGAACTTCAACATCAAGCATCAATGGCTCTGAAAAAGGCTGTAAAGTTTAAAAGAAGCTTTTGAACGGTCACAAAATTTTCGAGGACCGATCATAGACAAACCACTTTAATAATGATGATCGAATCCCTCTTGTTTTCTTTAAGAATGGAATAATGAAAATACCATAGATTTTCCTCCAATGATGGTAGAAAGAGAGAACTCTGGGGAGAATGTTGTGGGAGAGAGGCATGGGTTGAGAAGAAGCCTTTAACATCATGCCCACAAGCTCCTTAACGTTTCCAATGAAGAAATGGTAAGGGGGGCCTCGTATCCCTTGCCTTGAGAAATGATCTTCGATCCTCTTTGGTCTCCACCAAAGCAACACTATCACTTTTAAAACCAAAACTAGCACCGTCAACGCTATGGCTACCAACTTCAACCACTGCAAAACACCCTCCATTTTTCGTCAGCAAAGAAGAAGAAGAAAGAAAGACAAATAAATTTGGCTTCTATCTTTTCGCACAGTTTTACTCTTTAGTGTGGAGCAGCCTTTTTTTTCTTATCTGCTTTAGCTTATGTTGGTTTACTTGCCTCCCTTTGCTGGCCTTTTATTAGTACAACGAAAGGAGAGAGAGGGTGGAAAATAAAGCTTTTCTTTTTTAAAAAAGAACACTAAAATAAAGGGCGAGATTAAGCAAACCCAGATCAACGGCGTACGGGCCGCAACTGGAATAAGGGTCAACGTGAAGAGCTTTTTTTTTTTCCTATGACCGAGTGTTGGGAATTGCATGAGTTCTTAATATTGCGTTTGGTTAGCAGAAAAAATCAATTGTTAAAGTTAAAAAAAAATTTAAAGTTAATATTTGTGTTTTTTTAGAATAATAATAACGACATCTCTACTATTTTTAAGTAGTGGTCAATTTTTGCTATTTTAGATTAAAAAAATAGCATAACAATGATTTTTTTTTTCATTTGGATCCTTTGTTATAATTGATATATTTTTATTAATATTATGTTTATGATAGTTTCTAATATTATTATTTTTAAATATATTATTTAAATATCTAATTCATAATGTAAATTGATTAAGAATATTTTATTAGTATAATAGAAAGTTTATTCAAGTTTGAGTTTTATTTTTTAAAGACTCTAATTTGGATTGCAAGCTTATGATAATGAAGATGTAATAAGTTAAATCAATTCAAACTCGAAATTTTGAGATTACCTTATTGTAGGATTCTCCAATATCTGGAAAAATATAATTGTTATTAGGGATGATCATTTCATCCGGACTTAATGGGTCAATTTTTATTTTAAAAATTTAAGTTCTAGTTAGATCGATCGATTTTTTGGAGTGTTTTTGAATTGAGGTTGAAAAATCTAACATAATATTATATTTAACCTTTATATATTTAAGGATAATCACAATAATATCTCTTTCTATTTTATTTTTTTAATTATGTCATTACTTTACTTAATAAAAAAAATATAGTTATATTATTACCATGTGCAAATTTTAACCTAAAAATCATGTCAGATTTTGGATTGGATGAGGTCCTCTTGAACTCAAGTTGGTTCAAGTAGATTTTTAGTTTTTAGGTCGGGTTTGGATGAGCTAAAAACCTAACTTGACTCGCTATCATCCTTAATTAGTACTTCCTAGAAAGCTTGATCATAATATAAGGATGAAATTCAAATTCTAAAACAATATGTTTTGGAATGACTTGAACAATTACTTTTGATCACTTTCAAGCTCACTTAGAAGTTTTATTATATGCTATGATAAGAACTAAATACAAGATATTTATTTATATAAGTTTATTTTCTAAATATTATTTAATATGTTAATAATATATCAAGTACAATGTTTTTTTTATAAAATTTAGTTTGTGTAGCATAAATAATTCTACATGCAAATATTTTTAATTTAATATTAAAAGATTAACTTTTAAAAAATAAAACATATCAAAAAGATCATTTGAGAAAAACAACTCTAAATTGTATTTTTCTAACTAAATGTTATAATTTTAATAAATTGAATTAGATCATAACTGGTTGAGTACTGATTATTTTCTCCTTCCTACACCTAACTTGTTTTCCAATCAAAGGCTACGTAGTCTTCTTGGAAACCATACAAAGATTAGGTTATATTTAAAATGCTTTTTAATTAATTTATTTATCACAAACTCTTAGCTACCTTGATGGGTTTTGTCTAATACTAAGGCATGATTGAAGGGAAACATAGATGATGTACTCCAAGTGGATTTATTGTTTACAAGTTAATGGTTATAGGAGTCTATCGTTAGAGTTTCGATCTTATAGAGAATTGAAATAATCTTGAGTTTTGATGGCTAATTGATTATTTATACATTAATATTTAATTTGTTATCGACAATCAATTGGTTTAGTGGAATGAGACATTAGATTCTTTAAATAAAGATAAAGGTTCGAATTTTAACGTTTACGAATAGAACAAACTGTGTTGGGAATGTCGTCTTTACTTCTACAATAATCAATTCAAATTAATCGATTAATAGATTAAATGATGACGGTCATAAAAAAAACATTTAATTTGCTAAATTATTTACAGCGTGATATGAACCAAATATCTGTTCCCAAAATCATTCCTAGTTTGAATTATTAAGGTTTCATTTTTATTTTTGTTGATTTTATACCTAAGTCATTTTTCGATTCAATGAATCCAAGAAAATTATGGGATTTTGAAATTCCACATGTTATACATGAACCAAGTAAAGACATTGTCAAAAAACCATGTTCCATCGTAGCTCATTTTACACATTATCATCAAAAGTCTAATATAATTATTAGTCCAACGTAATTCGGAATTAAACAACGTTTTACCTTTTCTTTTCTCCGAATTTGGAACATATTTTCTTTTTATTTCAACAAATATGTTTTTATTTTTTAGGAAAAAAACATTTCCCCTAAACATGATATATTTTTATTATTTAAACACTAACAAAACTCCTAAACTATTTGCCACTGGCACTTAATACCATATCTTAATACTGTTTTTACATATCACATGTCATAGTTGAACGATAAAATATAATTTACACTTTTATATAAATATGATTACATGAAATGATTTAAATAAAATAATATATTGATGTGGCGTATCCAATTTATAAAAAGAAAAAGGCTCGTACTAAACAACATACAAGAGTAATTGATAACGTACAAGCAGGTTCAAAGTATTAAAGCGATCACATGCCGTTGAAGTCAAAAACTTCAACTTGGTGTTGGATTTTCCTGATGGTTATAAGAAGCATTGTCATGGTTCGAAAGATATATTGGAAATGTCCTATAAACATAATATAAAAGATTTTGGAAAGTTGAAGATTGAATTTAGAGAAAATAAACAAATAAACGCATCAAACCTTTAAAAAGGAAGGATCAATTTCAACAGCAATATCTTCCTAATATAATCTTATAACATCATAATCAAGATATTCAAAATTAAGGAGTCTAATTAATCTTACTTTATAACTCAAAGGATTCACACCAACTTTCTAATACATTATGTAAAATCACAGTACAAAATTAATATCTTTCTTTTTACATTATTCAATAAAACCATAATCAATACATTAATGAAGACATTCTATTGGGACGTGCATGTTCCTTAATTTAATGTTTCATAGCATGCTGCTACAAATTATGCATTTATGGTAGGAAAAAAAACTACATATAAGTGTTTGATATATATATATATTAAATAAATAACTCTTACGTACATTAATTACTATGATAGTAAATAATAATCGTCTTTGTGATATATAAAATCTAACCTAAAATCAATATTTATATAGATAATTATATTGAATCTAGGTTTATATGTAAAATAAAAGTCATTAAGTGGCATTAATTGTAAAAGGGAATATTGTTCTTCCCGTAGGTTCTAGGTTCAAACAGATGCGTCTACAGGGTGTGTGTTCATTGTTAATAGATTAAGAAAATTCTTATCATATACTACCTTTTAATCACTCATACTATTAAAAATAAAAAAGAGAAGGGTATATAATAGAAAATGGGGGGATTAGGGAGTGAGAGAGCATAACAAATGCCAAATCCTAAGTTCCGGAAAAGATATAATTTGAGGGAGGAAGGGGCACAAAGGAGTTGTTATTTTGGAATGTTACTCTTAAATTGATTCACATGGAAAACAAAGGCTTGTCTATTTTTAGGGTTTCCCCAACTTCGGTTAAGGGTCAGATCAGGTGGGGATGTTTATGTTTTTCCATCACTCAACATTTGGGTACCCACTCGAACCCTCTTTCCCTAATCCATTCCTAATACACCCACGACATGTTGGGGCCATATGTCCCTTCCCATAAATTATAAACATATATAATTCAACCCTTACACTGTTTATTTAAAAGTGCCTTTTTTTTTTTTTTTTGGACAAAGGGTGTCGTGTCTTACAAACACAAATAAGCAAGAATGTTTATGGGGGGTTTTAATTTCATGTTTATTATGAGATTAGACACAAACTAACCATTCAAAACGAATTTTTAAGACAGTTTGATCTAATGCGTTTGCATAGATTTTGATTGATCTATCTTGTAGAGATGTTGTTTGTACTACATATCAAATCCTTTCTTTTCGTTGGCAAAGACATCCTTTTGTCTGTAAGTGCATGGATGATATTGTAATGAAACTGAAATCTCAAAATCAACAAATATTCATTGCACTTTAAATAGAAATATTGTGAAATTTCACATCTCAATTTGTATAATTGCATCTTTGATTAAATTAACTCCGATTAATCATTTTTATTAGAAGTCAAACATTGTTTAAAAAGTGGTACGTGTAGAATTATAAGTATAAGATTATTTATAATTGCAATTAATACAATTTAAATAAATATATTTAGCACGAATCAATTTATTTCGGTGGTAAATGAATTGTTGTTATTCTTTGAGGCTCCGGGCTCGAGCAATGGGAATACCAGAAGTATGAGCGTTTAATGTTAATATTGAGAGTTATCTTTGAACAAATATTGCCTTGTACTTACCCTAAATTAATAAAAATAAACATATACATTTAAAATTGCATCAAAAAGTAAATAATCTCGATATGATTAATATATAATAAAATTTAGAGTAAACTATAAAAATAGTTATCAAATTTTTAGGATTTTAATTTTGATCACTGAGTTTTTAATTTATTTTTATTATGATGATTCTCATCTGTTTCTATTAAAAAATATTAACATATTACGTTAGACTCATCTTCAAAAAAAAAAGTTACCCTAAGAATAAACGTTAACCATACATAATATTTAAATATAATGAGATTCTAACTTGAAATCTTGAAGTTGTAAATATTTCAACATTACTGCTAAACTAATGCTTCATCGATTATTGGAATTTAAACATCTAGATAGTAGCCATGATGCAATCCAATCAACAGTCTTTTTTTTTTAAATAATATATA